CCCCAAATGTTATGGTTTAAAATAAAAAACAACAAAACTTAAATTTGCTGCTCTTGATGCTCTGACAATCTCCAGGGCATCTGAAAGAACTAAATCTGTAGATTATAACGGGCTTCAACATTCATGTACCATGAAACTCAAGGATAAAAAAGCTTGGCAAATAAAAGCTCATTCCAAGTATCCTGAAGCCCTGGCAAACACCAATGCACACAATCAGCATAGCTGACCGGGTTCGCGATCTGCTCGGGGGTTAATGGACTCCACTGTTGCTTGTAGATTGCTGTGTGGGCATCCTTGCGATAGCTTGAGAGTTGTGTGATGTTGAGAAATGCAATGGGCGCCTTTGATTTACTGAACTCTTCTTCGATCACCTGCATTATGCTTTTCCGAGTATCAGATCCCCAGTATGTGGGATCTTCTATCATTGTTGTCTGATTGTAACAGTTTCCGTTTGGATTGCCACCCCAGTCTATGCTCCTGTCAAACATAAAAGATTCGTCGTTCATGATAAAGATTAATCCTCCATCCGATCCATGCCATGCCAATCATCAAGTACATGGAAAAATGTTTTCATTGCTTGACAATTAATGTCAGGCTAAATTTAAAGCCTAGATAAATGTTTGTTTTTCTTACTTGAGTTCCCTAACCGCATGAAAATAGGAAACGATCATATCAGTGAAAGTGACGTCCAAGGAATGAGATCACGGTGAAATACTTCCATAATGTTCTACTTTTTCCCCTGAAATACGCCCTTCAGGACCTTTTGGGCTCTGAGTTCTCAATTGTGCTATTGATACATAAATGTTGAAGAGAAAAACCAAGTATTTAACTTCTGAAACAAAGGAATTGAATGATTAATTTTCTCATTTATGCTATTGATGAATTCTTTATAAACCCTCAAATGGATCTGTGCGTGCTAGATCTTGCACAATATAAAAACGAGAACAGATCTCTCCCTTGGTAAACTCGAGTGAGTCAGTTGGGTGGTCAATCACGCTGCTTGGAACAGCCTGTTAGATCCGGTGGTAAACTGGAACAGTAATGGGAGATTCTCGCGGATCAAAGGAACGATCTAGTAAGGCTGAAGAAAGGTTCCTGGAACAAAGAAGAACAAGTTAGAAGGGCGCCAGAGTATTTTCCGGCGTATCCCCTCCGACGATCAAGTCAGTTTTTGAGGGAGAGGAAGAAGAAAACACTGAGTATAGTTTGTAGCAAAAGTTTCACCTCCTTTTCCTTGCCTTTAGTGAGGAGTATTTATACCTCAAATACTCATGATTACTGTCAGTATGGTCAGTAGGACATTAGATACAGGCAACGTGCGCACTGATTCCTATGAAGAATGTCTTCTCTCTTAATTGCTCGGGACCCCGAGCAATCAAGACTGTGTCATCGGTCTGCCGATGGTTCAATGAGCTCCTCTCGGGGAGAATGCAATAAATGTCCAGCCTTAGAGACATTTATTGCCTTTCACTTCTGAGCCTTACCGTATTGAATGCAGTCTCATCAAGGGAATAGTGTAATTAAATGTTTGTTTTCCTAAGTCGCGTGTCAGCAAGGTCATGTGGTCTTTCTGTCTCTAATGTGACACAATATGCCACGCGTCCATTCCTCATTGGCTGTGGCCCCTGTCTTCCTATGCCTTCTGACACCAATTGTGTAAGACGAGATCATGATAGCTAACCTAACTTAACTTAGGCTAGTGATCAGTGCATCAATAGCCTCTCCTGGAGCAGAGAACTTCATCTTGGATGAAAGGGGGTACATCTCGGTACCGAGGAAGAAATACATCTCAGAGCCGAGGAAGAGGTACATCTCAGAGCCGAGAAAGAGGTATATCTCGGAACCGAGGAATAGGTACATCTTGAATCTGAGAGGGGGGAGGCTTAGCGACTGATGTACCATATCAGACTGAGGGTACGTGTCGGTACATAAAAACGTACTGGATGCCACTCGATCCCATGATAAGTACCTCGGGGTAGAGGGGACTTGTGACCCGATGGGTACATAATCTCGATAACAAGGATCAGTGACACCGAGGACACGTGTCTTCATCTTGGAGTATTCCAAAAATGTCCCATCAGGATCTACCGAGAATTCTATCATCGAAGATCCCTCCAATCATTTTCTATGTTAATTGCCTCCAAAGTTGAATCTCTAGTGTTCACATTCATGTTCTCTCTGTCTTTTCATTTGTCATATTGGCACAATGGAACTTTGAAAAGCATTTTTGCCAGGGTGAATTTGGGAGGTCAATCCGAGCTCCACCAAGTTACAGAACTTTTAAAACAAGTTTGAGCCGAGTGCCAACCATGTTAAAGTTTTGATCTTAGATTGACATTCAGGCTCAACCTACATTTACTAATTCTTGTTGAGTTCAATTCGAATCCCAAAAACATCTACACCCCAACTAGAGTACTGCACACATATTGAAAATTTCTACAACAGTACTACAAATTTTTGGGTTGAGTTTGGATTGATATGTCGAAGTTACACTCCTAATTTTTGCACGTGAAAGGGAAAAATTGCTAATTTTATTTTATCAATTTAGGTGTACTAAATTTTCCAGTGATGTGTACATGCGCGTGTATATATGTATGCACATATGAGTACATATATGTAGAGGAAGGAAAACGAAAGAAAAACGAGGCTAGGACAGAGTACTCACTTTAGATGAGAAGGCGACATGCTAGTGAAGAAGACTCTTGTCTTCGTCGGATCCATATTATTCTTTACCCATCCCAGCATACTCTTCATTGCCATTCGATAAGCATCCTCCGTTGGTACTTCCACAATGTTTTTCACTTCATCATCAAACGACCCCTGCCTGCACAAAGTAAACCATCAGACCTTCTCTGAGAAAATACAACAAACACCTAAAAGACAGATGTGTGAGTGTGAGTGTGTGTGTGTGTGTGAGAGAGAGAGAGAGAAGTTACAAGATTTTAAACGTCAAGCCTGTCATCCACCAAGTATAGGTATCGAACACCATAATGTCGACTCCTTTCCAATGGCGTCCATGCTTGTTAATGGACCCTTTACGAACTAGTTTGTCGGATTTTTGTTGTCCGACATTATCATCGTAGTTGGATTCAAGAAGAAATGGTGCCCAGTAGAATTCGATCGTCGCATTATAATCCTAAGAACAAGAAACAAAGGTGGTTAAATTTATCAAAACGTAAGTGTTTGATGAGTTTGAAAAATAAAAAAGAAAACAGAATGGTGATGGATTTTTCATGCGTACCTTGGCTGTGAAAACAATGTGCGACCCATTAGTTTCCATGGATTTGGCATTTTCTGGGATTATTGAATGGAGAAGACAGATCATGGAGACATGCTGGCCCCGGTTCAGAGAGTCCCCTACGAACATCATCCTCTTCCCTCGAAGTGTTTCGAGCATTAATGTGGCATTGAAGCTGTAAAATTAGTAAGAAGAACTTCATGCATACACCCATAGGTTAGTTCACCACATTTATACATAAATTATTAATCAAAAATTAAATTATTAATAAAGAATTCTTAATATTAACCTATCTATAAAATATAACAATACACATATAAAAAATACTCGTAATAAATATCAAGTAAAACGTAGCATATAAGAATTGATAATACCAAGACTAAGTCTATTCAATAAACAAGTCTACGGAGTAACAAGTGAATTGACTTTTATAGCGCAAATAGGGATGAAAATGTATCGTTTGGATCGGGTATGAATTATACGTATTGTATGATGGACGTATACAAAAATATCCGTGCGGGGATAGACTGACACTTACTCTCTTCCGGCCCGCTACAGCTGCTAAATTTTTATAAATCAAAATCTATATCTATATACATACATACATACATTCTATCTATATAATAAAATATGAGTGCTTTTGAATTTTATCCCATTCATATTTTTCCCCTCAAAACTATCACCAATCATTTATCTCACCCATCATCCTTTTGTTAAACTCAAACGTCAAATCACATCACTCATTTCTATCACATATTTAATCATTTATATATTTCCTCCCTAAAAATATCTCATCACTAATTTCTATTATATATTTATATTTGATTAATTTGTTGTTAATATATTTTGAAAAAATTTAATATAATGAGATCGATTTTTTGGACGCTCGAATTTTATATTTTAAGGCATGAGTTATGACTAATGTGTAAATATTCCAATTCAACTCGTTCAGGTTCTACTCATTTTTTAAATGAGTCGAACTTGAATAATTTTTTAGGCTCACTTAAAAAAAACCAGAATGAGTTTAATAGGCTCGGTTCGAGCTCAATCGATTATCAGCCCTAGTTTATAATATTAAGAATGAANGGCTCACTTAAAAAAAACCAGAATGAGTTTAATAGGCTCGGTTCGAGCTCAATCGATTATCAGCCCTAGTTTATAATATTAAGAATGAAAATTAAATCCTTTTACACATACATACCTTTCTACTTGTAACATTAAGAAAGAAAATTAAAACCTTTTACACGTTTATACACACACACACATCTGTATAATGAGTAATCTATTTGAACTTAAGAATTTGACCTAATTTTATGACATAATGATGTGATTTTAATGGAACCATTGGATCAACACCAAATTTTAATGTTTGATAAAATTCTCAAGTCATAGTGAATTATCTCAACAAATTAGGTCAATAAATTAGGTCACAATAACATATTCATGTATGATATACATATATATGTATTAGATCTACACACACACATATACATATATAATTCGGTAGAGAACTTTGTTCGATTACTTGTATGAATGTTTTGAACCATAGTAAGGGTGGGGGTGGGGGTGGGCATGGGAGCAGGGCCCAGGGAGGGGGGGATGAGAATTAGAATTTATCAGCGAGATAGAGATGGGGATTAAAATTTTCTCTACTAATAGGGTTGGACTTAGGGTAGACGGAGGTTTTTTAAGTTGGTACTTCCCCCAACCCCTCGATTCACTGTCATCCTTAAGCGCAAAGAGCGAATCAGCTGGTCTGATGTCAATCTAGCTGACTTAGTTTACAAAGATGCAAGTCAGTTAAGGTTGGAACCAGCTAGAAAATCGGCAAAACTGCTCGGTTTACCTATAGGAGCTCATTCCATGATGGGAGAGAAAAAGAGAAGAAGAATTACGCCATGAGAGATCTTATACTGGTCATGAAAAATCCATCTCTACAATGCCACATCATCAACTTCTCCAATGGCATGTCATACCTAATGAAAAATACTTTTAACAGTCAAATATTTTCACCAATATTCCAACAAACTTGTACCACACTATCGTTATTTGAAGATCACACTATCCTAATGTATAAATAGACGACCCTTGCCTTGTCCAAACAATGCAAAAATTGTAATCCACAAAGTTGTGATATTCTTCTTCTCCAAAAAATACAAATTAGAGGAATAGGAGTCTCGATTATAATGAATTATCCTATCTCTTCAGCTTGATAAATCATTTATTTTTTTGTGTTATTGCCTACTGTTTCCCAATTCGCATACACTCATAGCTCACTCACAGAGCTCGTCTAACTATCACAGTTCATACTTCTCAATTTCATACACCATGAAGAATAAAAAACTATTATTTAGATTGTACATTAAAATCCTTAAATATAATCTATATAATAAAACACATATTAGTCGTATAGACTATATTAGAGAATATAGGACAATTCTAGATAGATAGATAAAATTTAAAATTAAATAAGCGATAAAGATAATACTAATTNTTGGATGCCATGTTAAGAAAAGATAGACTATATTAGAGAATATAGGACAATTCTAGATAGATAGATAAAATTTAAAATTAAATAAGCGATAAAGATAATATTAATTCTAGTCAAGCGTTTGTTAAATACGGTATTAAGAGTTGGATAATAAATATCAAATCCAATGTAATATTTGATTAGAAAAATTATTCAACGGTATTAAATAAGTGAACTAAAATGCCTTAAATTATTTCCAATTCGATCATTTAGAGTGATCCAATATATCATAGGATTATATTAATAAAACCAAAAGCTATTTAAATATTACTTATTATGAATATTTTTAAATAATATTAGAATTAAACAAGCATGCTTTAATTGTGTAAAATTGTATTTTGAATATATGCATTTGTTTATTATTAATGTCATTGTTTATGTAATTTTTATTAAAATAAATAAGAAGGAATGATCATGGATTGGTATTAAAAAAGCTCAATAATATGAATAGATCATTGTATTAGAATTATTCAAATGTAATATTTATCTAATTAATCTCATACATAAAAATGAACGAACCTTGGAAGAGAACAGCCATGAGGTTGCCATCTCCAATACTGGTATTCTCTATCAGGCCTTCCATGTGCTTGACATGTTAGCTGTGGCTGTATGTAAGGGCAGTCCGATTCTTCATATAATGGACGAGTCAACTCGTCCCTCACCCACCTCCCACTGAACACATCGCACCCTCTCTCTGTCTCTCCAATGGCGAACGGCAACTTCTCCCCCCTCTTCTCTAACACCAAAAATANCTGAACACATCGCACCCTCTCTCTGTCTCTCCAATGGCGAACGGCAACTTCTCCCCCCTCTTCTCTAACACCAAAAATAAAAAAAACCCAACTCAGTCAATTGGATAAATGAATATATATAGTTATATACATATAGATATATATATGTATAGGAGACTACAAAACTTTGATGAGGTTGAAGGGTGTTGACTGTTGAAAAGGGAAGGAGAGAGACGAGCCTTTCTGATCAGGAAGTAGGAGGAAGGAGAGAAGTAGAAAACGAAGGCTTCATCTTTTGAAGAAGCCTCTAAGCTTTTTCGTCTGAGAAGTTAATGTGGGTGTTGTACTGTGTGGTGTGTGGTAGAATAGACACAGCATTTGGTCGGACAAGTCAATGATTTTGTTATGAATATATCTACGGGTGTTAAAGACTGTTGGAATATACATAGATACATACACACACACATATATATATTTATAGTACTTGTAAATATTAGCATAGGTGAAAAATTTAAAATTTAAAATTTATTTTTATTAAATAATGTTAAATCAATCATACTCCCACATATCCTTATTAATATCCTTATTTTTTTTTACACGTCTTATTTATTCTTATGATTTTAGGTCTTTAATTATAATAGTAACTCAAATACGTATATAGATTAATAACTAGAATTAGTATAAATTAAAATATGAATTAACTCTCTGACACATAATTTATTTATTTAATTCAATTACACATATAATATATAATTTTTATAAGTTTAACAAAAAAAAATTATTTATATATGTTCATGTGAAATGCATGTCATGTATTACTAACCAAATTTTTATAAAATCAATTATATCGTTATACTTTCATACATTTTTTTATAAGTAGACCATTCGCTCTACTTATCTTATAACTTTAGGTCTCTAATTAAAATAGTAACTTTAATATAATACATATAAAGATTAATAATTAAGTTTACTAAAAATTAAAATAAAAATTAATTTTTTGACACGTAACTTATTTATTCAATTCAATTACACATATAATCTATATCTTTTTTATATGTTTAACAAAAAAAATTATTTGTATTACTAACATAATTTTTATAAAAGCAAGTATATTCTTATACCTTCATATGTTTTTTATTTTTATAAGTAATTTAACTTTGGAATCTATAAACAGCTAAATAATGTTTTAAGTCCGTGAATGTCAAACCCCCCCCCCCCAAAAAAAAAGTTTTTTCGTTTAAATAAAAAAGATATTCTTTATAGAGAAAATGAATAAATAAACGAAGGGTCATACCACCAACTAGGAGGGTTTAGTGGTGATACTGGTCTTACTCTTCACACAAAGGTTGGGAGTTTGAATCCTAGAGTTCCTAAGACTCTATGATTAACCGCTATGCTACCCTAGTTAGGTTTAATCCCGAGAGATATTCTAAGAGCAAGAGTCTTATAATTCCATCGGTGAAGATCTAATGAGATGGTTATTAGATGTTATTTCGTGCCTCCACCCTTTTTTTTAACCAGCAAAAAAAAAATAAAACAAATGACCATTGATTGTGTGCAAACCCACCAAAGCACTGTCGGTGCTGCCATCCGATTCCGGATTAGCGCCATCATTTGTAACGTCAAAAACCGTAGCAGCAGCGTCTGCAAGGCCACGACGTGCGCCAAGGGATTCAGATGCACCATTGGCCCCGAATGAGAACAAAGCCGCCAGACCCAAAAGTAGAGCAACTTTGACCTCAAATCCTCTTGTGAGGCCCATGGTGGTCTTCAAACCTTGAACTACAGTTTTTGAGTTTTCCAATTTCAAAGAAAGAAAAGAAAAATGAAAAAGACTATGGCCTGGAACCGGAAAATGATCAGTTTCAACCTTTTTATAACATGTTTCGGTTACAACTTAATCTATCTTTAGTACAGGTCCACCTCAAAATTAGATTGTGATTTGTGAATCTAGATCTCTGTCCCTTGTATTTTTTATTTGGTTATTTTTTGTTAATTTTCCCGCAAATTTTGTAATTTTTTAGTTTCTTACATACAAACGTGAGAGGTTCAAGTCATTTTCAATTCAAGTTTTCTATTATTACCCGTTGTATGCTCCAAAGCCTCCAATAGAAGTTAGAAAATAAACAGAAATATTCTATTTTTTGTTTACGCCTCTTAATCTAAATTTGGATAATGCAAGCAACGATTGACTAAAAAATGAGACAAATGTATGGATTCAGATCATGTAGCGATGATAACGAGTTGTTTTTTGGCTCAAACTGAACACAAATACTTAAATCTTTGTTGAGAATAATTTGTCCCAATCTTTCTATATTAATCCATTACGTTTTCTAATTTAAACGACATGGGATTTGTTGGAGTAATTTTTTTTTTTAAAACTTATTAATTAATTAATTAGTTTTTAGTTTTTAGGAAGAGGATGATTGAGCTTCTGGTAATATTTCATAGCTCCTGTCTTCACTCTAGTTTATCCCTCACCCACAAAAATGGAGCAGTAAGGATGACATNTAGCTCCTGTCTTCACTCTAGTTTATCCCTCACCCACAAAAATGGAGCAGTAAGGATGACATACCTTCAACAACTTTTTAATAGAGATTATCCAGCGCGATTAATTAAACATGTCGTGTATCAAAGACGTAGAGTTGAGTGGAGAGAAATATTCCATCAAATAAAAAAAAATTCATTTTTTTCTTTGGTAGATTATGTATTATAAATTCAAGTGAGATTCATTGTTTGTCAATTGATACCCTGAACAAAATTATTTTCTACATACAGTCCACATAAATAAATAAATATAAATATCTGTGTGTGTGTGTGTGTGTGTTGGGGGGAGGGGACTTTAATTTCCATTTTGCATTGAACAATTCAATCCTAAGATTTGTTTCCTCCTGCAGTCTCCCAAGGAAAAAGTCTCCAGAAATGACGCTTTCTGGCTACAATCTGATTAGTTTGAGCTATGGTGGTGACTAGGGATGGGCCAACCCATAGCCCGTCCGCCAAACACTGCCAGGGGCTGGGCCGATCATGCATCAATCCTTAGCCCGCCTAGAGGGCATGATGGGTTGTACAGTGGCCCATGCCCAATCCACCAGCAATGGGTGTTAGTCCAGGATCAGTCCGTCTAGACGATAAAACCGGGGTTTTTCATAAATTCACATTTTAAGTTGAAGTTTTCATCACTTCTTTGAAAAAGGGTGTGGTCGGCCTGGCTTGCACCATGGCCCTTGCCCATTCCAAGAGCAATGGCCAATGGGTTGAGTCTTGAGTGCCACGCTGAAACAAGGTTTGATAGTTGCTATATAACTATGGACAGCCACAATAGGTACACATAGGCCTGTCAAGTGTCTAACGGATCAGACTTGAATTAAATTTTAATTTATTTAAATTTGACTATGAAAGTTCGATTTGAATTTGATCCGACAGATTTATTTATTCTGCTTCATATCCGAATCAGTTAATAATCTGAAATCCTATCTAATTCAAATATCTCAATTTAACTGTTTTTTAACAAATTATATCTAAATTTTAACTAAATTTTCAAATAATTACTTTATTTATTTAATATTTATACAAAACTATATAAATATTTCGGATCGAATATAAATACATATAAATTTGAATCCGTAAAATATAAGATTTTAAATTCAAGTTCAAATAATTGCTAAAAAAAATATTAATTTATATTGGACTAATCAGATTTGAATTCGGATCAAAATTCAATTGACAGGCCTAGTGACACATGATTATTTCGGGTAAATGACCACATTGTAATTTATCTGGAATCACCCAAATGAATTATGTTACTGTTCGGGGAAAAAAATAATGCAAATTTTCTTGTATTATACACATCAATTTTCCTTCCCCCAAATGTCATGGCTTAAAATCAAAAACAACAAAACTTTTAAATTTGCTGCTCTGATGCTCCAANGGCTTAAAATCAAAAACAACAAAACTTTTAAATTTGCTGCTCTGATGCTCCAACAATCCCCAGGCCATCTGAAAAGAACTAAAACTGTAGATTAGAACAGGCTTCAACATTCATGTACCATGAAAATCAAGGATAAAAAAGCTTGGCAAATAAAAGCTCATTCCAAGTATCCTGAAGCCCTGGCAAACACCAATGCACACAATCAGCATAGCTGACTGGGTTCGCGATCTGCTCGGGGGTCAATGGACTCCACTGTTTCTTGTAGATTGCTGTGTGGGCATCCTTGCGATAGCTTGAGAGCTGTGTGATGTTGAGAAATGCAATGGGCACCTTTGTTTTGCTGAACTCTTCTCCAATCACCTGCATTATGCTTTTCCGAGTATCGGATCCCCAGTATGTGGGATCTTCTATCATTGTTGTCTGGTTGTAACAGTTTTCGCCTGGATTGCCACCCCAGTCTATGCTCCTGTCAAATATAAAATTCGTCGTTCATAATAAAGATTAATCCTCAATCCAATCAATGCCCTGCCAATCATCAAGTACATGGAAAAATGTCTGCATTGCCGAAGATATGACAAACAAATAAAGTAGCCCTATGTTTGGATCTGACATTACCATACCATATTCAAAAGATACAACGGCCCGAGCGACCAGACTTAACATAAATGTTGCCACTGGAGCCATTCTAAAAAGGGAGAAATTATCACTACTTGGTGAAATAGGTTCTTTTAGAATCAATTTCAAACCATCAAAGCTTAGCTAAGTGTTTGTTTTTCTTACTCTTGAGTTCCCTAACCGCATGAAAATAGGAAATGATCATATCAGCATAAGTGACATCCAAGTAACGAGATCACGGTGAAATACGTCCTTTAGGACCTTTTGGGCTCTGAGTTCTCATTTATGCTATTGATGCATAAATGTTGAATTGAATGATTAATTTTCTCATTAATGTTACTGACGCACTCTTTATAAACCCTCAAATGACGAAGATCCCTTCAATCATTTTCTATGTTAACTGCCTCCAAAGTTGAATCTATAATGTTCACATTCATGTTTCTCTCTCTCATTTCATTTGTCTTATTGGCACGATTGAACTTTGAAAGTGTTTTTGCCAGGGTGAACTTGGGTGAATTGGGAGGTCAATCTGAGCTCCACCAAGTTACAGAAACCATAAAAAAAGTTTGAGCAGAGTGCCAACCATGTTACAGTTTTGATCTTAGATTGAAATTCAGGCTCAACCTACATTTACTAATTCTTGTTGGGTTCAATTCGAATCCCAAAAACATTTACACTCCAATTAGCGTACTGCACACCTATCGAAAATTTCTGCACCAGCACTACAAATTTTGGGTTGAGTTTGGATTTATATGTCAAAGTTACACTCCTAATTTTTGCACGTGAAAAGGAAAAGTTGCTAATTTTATTTTACCAATTTAGGTGCACTAAATTTTCCAGTGATGATCTATACATATGTGTGTATATATGTATGCACCAATGAGTACATATATGTAGTGGAAGGAAAACGAAAGAGAAACGAGGCTAAGACAGAGTACTCACTTTTGATGGGAAGGCGACATGCTAGTGAAGAAGACTCTTGTCTTCTTCCGATCCATATTCTTCTTTACCCATCTCAACATACTCTTCATTCCCATTCGATAAGCATCCTCCGTTGATACTTCCACAATGTCTTTCACTTCATCATGAAACGACCCTTGCCTGCACAAAGTAAACCATCAGACCTTCTCTGAGAAAATACAACAAACACCTAAAAGACAGATCAGACGACTTGAAGGAAGAGAGAGAGAGAAGTTACAAGATTTTAAACTTCACGCCTGTCATCCACCAAAGATAGGTATTGAACACCATAATGTCGACTCCTTTCCAATGGCGTCCATGCTTGTTAATAGACCCTTTACGAACTAGTCTGTCGGATATTCTATGCACGGCAGCATCATCGGAGTTGGATTCGAGAAGAAATGGTGCCCAGTAGAATTCGATCGTCGCATTATAATCCTAAGAACAAGAAACAAAGGTGGTTAAAGTTATCAAAACGTAAGTGTTTGATGAGTTTGAAAAAAAAAAAAAAAGAAAGAATGGTGATAGATTTTTCATGTGTACCTTGGCTGTGAAAACAGTGAGTGACCCATTAGTTTCCATGGATTTGGCATGTTCTGGGATGATTGAATGGAGAAGACAGACCATGGAGACATACTGGCCCCGATTCAGAGAGTCCCCTACGAACATCATCCTCTTCCCTCGGAGTGTTTCGAGCATTAATGTGGCATTGAAGCTGTAAAATTAGTAAGATGAGCTTCTTGCATATTCCAACCATTTATATATCCTTCCCACCCATTTTTTTTTAAATTTTTTTTTTTTTTTGGGGGAAAGTGGGTAAGGAGAAGGGCTTCAATAAGATAAAATCTTCACAAATTAAGGAATACTATTAGATCAAAAGATCGTTGGTAATGTTATTTTGTTTAGAATAATGTTATTTGAATCTAAAAATTTGACATAATTTACTGACCTATTGATCTGGTTTCATTGGAACTATTGAATTAATATCAAATTTTAATATTTGATAGAACTCACAATCAATCCAAAAGTCATACTAAATTAAGTCAATAAATTAGGTACTGAATTAGGTCAATAACTTAGGTTCCAATAGCATTGCTCTTCTGTTTACATTCACCCTAATAGAATTAAATTCACAACATTTATAAAGTATAATATTATTAACTAAATTTTGTGATCAAATTTGAAGTCCGAATGACATGGTAACATATTATTTAAAATCTTTATTAAGGCCGCCCAAATGATATGACATCAAATAAAGAAGTCCAACTCAGCTATCATGTCAATTGAACTCTAAATTTAATCATAAAATTTGGTTATCGTAACATTATTCATTGCAAAAATATTCCTAATAAATATAAAGTAAAAAATAGCATATAAGAATTGATAACACCAAGAATAAACCTATTCTATAAATATTCTATAAATAAGTCTACATCACAACAAGTGAACCGGTTGACCTCTACAGGGTAACAAGTGAACCGGCTGACCTGATATCAGTTTGGTTGACTTGGTTCACAAGGATCCAGATCACTTAAGGCTGAAATCAATTCTGGAACTGTCAAACGAGCTCGGTTTACCAAAAGGAGCTTATTCCCCGGTAGGAGAGAAAACCAAAGAAGAATTACACCATCAGAGATCTGGACATGAAGAATCCATCTCTAAAATATCACGATATCAACTTTAAAAATCTCACCTCATATTTAGGGAAAAGCGTTCAATATCCTAACAAAGTAGAGGATTACACTAACATTACTCGAGGGCTATTATATCCTAATGTATAAATAAGCAAATTGCTATCTTACCCAAACAATGCAATCCAAATAGTTAAAATCGTCTTCTTCTTCAAGAAATACAAATCAAAGGAGTAAGAGTCTACATTACAATGAACTAGCTTAACTCTTCAACTTGATAAATCACTTATTTTCTTATGGTCTTGCCTACTGTTAACCAGTTCACACACAGTCACAACTCACTAACTAACACACAAAGCTCGTCTAGCTCTCACAGTTCATTCTTTTTAATTTCATATACCATCAAGAATAAAAAACTATTATTTAAAATGTACATTAAAATACTAAAATACAACATATGTGAATGAAACAATCTTTCTAAAAAAATCAATTATATCTTCCTTCACAACCATCAATCTATTTTGTACTTAACCCAATAGATTATCCAACTATTTCTAAATATTTAGTGCGAGCAAAACTATATCATCTGTGTGGTGTCTTCTATCAAAAATATAATCGATAACATTTATATATCAATGAAAAATATAATAATGTCACTAATAATAAAGTTAAAATTATTATTGGACAACATCAATGTGTGTATGAGATGAGAGAGGAAGACAAAGTAAGTTTAATTATTAATGGGTGATTTAATCACTAATAAGGTGAGTATAAAATGAAGTAATCTTAGTAATTTGAAATAAGAGAGTTAAATGAGATAGTTTAGGTGCCCCCAACTCCACCCTCTCATCAATTTAAAACACAAGTACATTAAAAAAAGTAATTTAATACACATGGTAATAGGTGGAACAGTTGAGCTAAAATATACTTTTAGTCCCTAACGTCAAAAGAAGACTTGCCTCATGTGTGACAAAGAATCAGCCATTAGCCGGCGATTCATTAGTTCACATTTCATAGACAAAATTTGAAATATTACAATCATTTCTTACCATTGTTCCGGATTAAGCTTTTGTATGGTAGATTTTAAATTCCGGTAAAAAAAAAAAAAGAGTTGTATAAAGCAGCCGAGAGACTAGTCTAATACATATATCTATCTATCAAATATATGAGTAACTTTTAAATAATCAGGACAAGACTTCGTTAAATTTAGTTGAATCCGACAACCTTGGCAGTATATGGTTTATGTGATCTAGAGACAGACCAATATGACACATTGAAATAAACGGCTGGCTCTTATTGTTTATTTTGATGAAGAAAAAAATTGAACGAACCTTGGAAGAGAACAGCCATGAGGTTGCCATCTCCAATACTGGTATTCTCTATCAGGCCTTCCATGTGCTTGACATGTTAGCTGTGGCTGTATGTAAGGGCAGTCCGATTCATCATATAATGGACGAGTCAACTCGTCCCTCACCCACCTCCCACTGAACACATCGCACCCTCTATCTGTCTCTCCAATGGCGAACGGCAACTTCTCCCTCCTCTTCTCTAACACCAAAAATCAAAAAAACCCAACTCAGTGAATTGAATAAATGAATATATATAGTTCTATACATATAGATATATGTGTATAGGTGATTACAAAATTTTGATGAGGTCGTTGAAGGGTGTTGACTGTTGAGTTTTAGTCACCTGTTCTCGAGATGGGTCTGATTGGTCTGTCTTGATATGAGTCGAACAGACCAAAGATGCAGCCGAAGTCTTCGCCGTAAAGAACTATGACGAAGACGATGAAGGCTAATAAGGTGAAAAGGTAAGGAGAGAGACGAGCCTTTCTGATCAGGACGGAGGAGGAAGGAGAAGAAGAAAACGAAGGCTTCATCTGTTGAAGAAGCCTCAAGCTTTTTTCTGTTTTGTTTTTTGTTTGAGAAGTTAATGTGGGTGTTGTACTGTGTGTTGTGTGGTAGAATAAATACAGGATTCGTTCGGACAAGCCAATGATTTTAGTGTATGAATATGTCTAATGGGGTGTTAGAAAATTACATTTTATTCCCTTAAACTATTATCTTTATTTTATTTTGTACTCTCAATTATAAAATTTTTCATATATCAATTTTATTTCATATCACTCTAATAAATAATGACAAACTTAAAAATCTATCAAATGAGGGAGGGAAACATCAAAGAGTTTTCCATCAAGTGTCTAGTACCACTTTATTTTATCTTTTGCAATAAAATGGTCGGTGAGAAGAAAAAGAAAGTTAATCAGATGAAGAAAATTTAGAGTTTAAAAAGAACAAAGTCATGAATGAGTATTTTTTTTGTGTACATGTGCAACAGAAAGTTGTTTATTGACAGTACATACTATTCACACATGCGCGTTTACTGTCAAAGTCGTTATCAATTAGAGTGATATGAAATAAAATTGATATTTTAGGATGTTATATGCGAAATTTTATAATTGAATGTACAAAGTTAAACAAAGGTAATGATTCAGGGGGATAAAGCGTAATTTACCCATATATATACACATTATATTCCAATTTCGTCGTGATGGAGTAGTGATCAGGAGAGGTTTTAAGAATCTTTCAGACGTGAACCCACATGCCAAAACAGCTAACTGTGGTTTTAAGTCAATGAAATGCCACCATCCCCCGTCCTTCCTTTCATAAAAAGGATGACTTGAGTATAAGTGTGCGATATGCTTTCAACATTAACAACCACCCCTACCCACCCCCCCACCCCTTTCAGTTTCAAGTGTTTGGGATCTTAGTAGGACCCTCTGATATGATCAATATGCAGTGTAGACTCTTGAGCTGCATTGTAGAACAGGTAACCACTGTGACATGCCAAGGCCAGAAGGCATCAACCATGCATCGATCGGATCCGACACGTTGATCACTACCTTCTGACTTGATGAAATGTCATGTTCAAAACCCGTAGTTGAGTGGCTGTTTAGTTGACCTTCCAATTTCCATCAAAACAAAAGGCTGTGACTTGTCTTTATAAACCTTGTCAAGAGATTGGATTTTACTTTGAATTCAATCCGAATTTGAATTTGACAATCAAATATGAATTGATTTTTAGAGATTATCCAAATTCGATCTCGATCCAATCTATTTATATATAGTTATACATATAAAGTATGACAAACTTCAATAAAGTTCATTCGATGGTCTCAAATAGACTCATCTGACGGTTACTAATATCTCTATAAAAAATATTCACATTAAATTTTACTTTTCTTTTTTCACTCTTCACTCTCTCTACCTGGGATCTTCACTTCTTACTTTTTTGAATTAATTGGTTGGTTTATGTTGTACCGTATCTTCACGCACGAATTACCTTTAATTATTCGATAAAATTGAATCAAAATTTGGATATTAATTATACCGGATAAAATTTTCTGACTTTTAACTGATTTGTGTATAACCTGAAAATAAAATTTTAAATTGAAATTTGATCAGACTAATTATTTATTAATTTTTTTCTCATTAGATTCAAATTCGACCTATTAACAACCTTACTTGTGACACTTTTTNATATGACAAACTTCAATAAGTTCATTCGATGGTCTCAAATAGACTCATCTGACGGTTACTAATATCTCTATAAAAAATATTCACATTAAATTTTACTTTTTTTTTTTCACTCTTCACTCTCTCTACCTGGGATCTTCACTTCTCACTTTTTTGAATTAATTGGTTGATTTATGTTGTACCGTATCTTCACGCACGAATTACCTTTAATTATTCGATAAAATTGAATCAAAATTTGGATATTAATTATACCGGATAAAATTTTCTGACTTTTAACTGATTTGTGTATAACCTGAAAATAAAATTTTAAATTGAAATTTGATCAGACTAATTATTTATTAATTTTTTTCTCATTAGATTCAAATTCGACCTATTAACAACCTTACTTGTGACACTTTTTTCTTGTAATAAGTTTGATTTGCTTCTCTAAAAGAGGGCCTGATAAAAGTAGTGTGCAATCCATGATGGTGAGGGAAGCTATCATGTCGCTTGGCTTCTAAGGTAAGGGTTGTTTATGAAAGATGGCCAATCATTTTCACCACTTTTGTGTAAGGATTGTATCTTTGAAAAAGTGAGGTGAGTATGATGAATTTGGAGGGGGTTTAGGTAGAGGATGATGATTGAGCTTATGGTAATATTTCAATGTCATGTAGTTGGCACAAGCTCATATCTCTGTCTTCACTCTAATTTATGCCTCACCCACTAAAATGGAGCAGTTAGGAATCACATAAACTAATCGAAATTTAAAGGGTAGTTAAATTAAAGGGCTTTGAATCGTCAAATTGTATGAAAAATACATAAAATGANGTGGCTTCTAAGGTAAGGGTTGTTTATGAAAGATGGCCAATCATTTTCACCACTTTTGTGTAAGGATTGTATCTTTGAAAAAGAAGGGTGAGTATGATGAATTTGGAGGGGGGTTAGGTAGAGGATGATTGAGCTTATGGTAATATTTCAATGTCATGTAGTTGGCACAAGCTCATATCTCTGTCTTCCCTCTAAATTATGCCTCACCCACTAAAATGGAGCAGTTAGGAATCACATAAACTAATCGAAATTTAAAGGGTAGTTAAATTAAAGGGCTTTGAATCGTCAAATTGTATGAAAAATACATAAAATGACATTTAAATATTTATTTTTCGGGGTTTAAAGATTTTCTAGCACCGGCATAGACATCGTTCAGAACAAACGCCGGATTTTAGTGTTGCCGGCCATTTTTGGCCTTTTGCCGACATTTGCAATCACCGACTTTTTAAAAATTTCTTGATTCTCCTTAGTTCTTGCAAATAGATTACAAGTACAGATTTATAGGAGCATATATACCGAGGAAATGAATGAAATATGATCAATTATCATATTATGGTTGTAAAATTTGTGTAATTGGACTAATCTTAAACTCAAACATCTCGAGTTCAAATCTTGATAATTTTTTTGGGCCAGGTCACGAGGAATTTATCCTCATGAATACTCTAGTTCTGACGTATATGACTTATCTTTAACCTAACTTAGGACGAGATTAGTTGAGATGCGCGTGAACTGGCTTGGACACTCTTAACCGTTAAATCAAAAGAAAAATGTATATTTTTAAAAAAAATTTATTAGTGGTAAGTCACTCGCTGTGAATTCAATCAGGAGACACTATACATTAATTGATTGATCACTCACCAATACAAAGTGTGGATAAACTAGGATGGACGGAGATTAAGGAAAAGTGTACTTCGAGAGAGCTGAAATCCTAAAAATACGATTGCCAAACAAGTATTTTTTAGATGAACTATATATTTTACGTCATGATTATCAAAATTTCTATCCGGATCGGGTAATCGTAGAGTATTGTATTGGTGAACAAAGGAAATATATTTTCTACTATCAACAAATGCATCCACCAAACTCCTTATTGTTTTTATTCCACTAAGGCTTTTTTTTTTATACTTCTTTGTAGCATGATTACATACTTCACCTAACATATATATTATAAATCAAAGTTTTCTCTGTCCCTTAGAAAATACATGTTCCACTGACTTTGTATAAACGTTAATTTTATCAAAATAAACTATCATCAAGAGTAGACCATTCAACACGCATTACTTTGAGATTTCCTTTTCATTTCCCTAACTTTTCGTACCAACGTTAATTGTTGATTGGTTTGTTCATGAAGAATGCTCAAGTTTGGCTCGAAATCGTGTTGAGCTCGGCACGTTAGCTTTTTTCAAATATATGATTCAACTTAACTCATTTGACTGAACGAACCAAACTCGAGCTTATATTACAGCTTAAACTCGAGTTCATGTTCTGTTTTTAATATACTTATAAATGAGTTCAATTTGTTCAAGAGCCTATCAAATTGAACACCACATTGTACAAGCAAGCTCCAAAATTAAGATTGAGCTCAGTTCGTTTAATAGATCCGGAGCAGTTTACAAACTGTTTAAGAAGGGCCTGATTCATTTGCAGCCATAAGCACTTCTGCTATGCATTGGTTGTACAAGAGAGGGTCTTTGACTGGCCTTGCACAAAGGCTTTTATAGCCATGGTTCTTAGTGGAGCTAATGCTTACTTTCACCCCAGATGGGAAATGCCAATTCAGTCCATAGACAAAGGAATCGGATTACAGCCACGTTACATAAAAAGGATAACTCGATTACTACGAGATATAGAAAGGAATAGATGTATATAATCTTACCCCACATGCGAAGAAACTAACGCAATATACTGATAATTAAGTTTCAGAACTAATTCAAACCTGCAGACTCTTCACCCCTGAGATTTAAATCTGATTCTGATAGGAAGGAGGCCAGCATAATATACACCTGAATTAGGTTATCGCTACTGAACAGAGCATGTGGCCTCTGCAATCACGGGCAACTTATAAAGACATGATACGAAACAACACCACACACTTGACCATGCACTCAGAATCTGTAAAGAATGTTATCAATATCATAGTGTTGGNAATAGAATATGGTTGCAGGGAGAAATACCATCCATGGCATGGTGGTTTGCATCAAGGAAGTTGCTTTTTGTCTCAGGCAGAAAACTACAAAAAAAACTGCCACTATTCATGAACTAATCCGGAGGCACGAACTTGCAAAATGTCTACAACAGATTGAGATGACTGAAAATTCATTCACCAATGGCCTTTGAACTATGGCTGTGCTTGCTCAAAAGTTGACCGGAGAATAGGAGTTTCGGTAGCCTTGAGAAGGTCCTGTAAATCTCCGTACTAAAGACATACAAAAACTCTGCAAACATGAGGTAACAAATTACTAGTGCAATTCAGCAGTTTGCCAAATGCACATTTCCAGAATTTACAAACATAATACACACATTCAATGCCACATTACTAGTACTCCATGTTAGGGTTACGGCCTATTTACTTCATATCCTAGTCCAAGCAGTTAGTGTAACATTCTAGATTGAACTGAAAGCATAATATCTTTAAAAAAATGCCAGCCGCAGAAGACTGGGTCCAGGATCTGGTCATCTAAGCCTCGCTGCTTCTGTCAGCTCACATTAGGCTGTGCTTTGGATATTATTATATGGTTGTTGAAGCCCCTTATCACAATCACTTAGAGATACAACACGATCTGTCAAAAGCAGCACCTTACAGGTATAGCTTAAGGTTCTCATTGTCTTTTCAATAAATTTCATGTATGGCCTTCTGATGGAAATTCTAAATAATCCAGTAATAAATTTACACCAATTAGATCACCCATTAGTGAGAAGAAAGACCTTTCTAGTTAAGGTGGTCTACTTCAGGGACTATGCATTCCTGCACGCTTTGTTCTTTTTAATGAAACGTTGATATCACTTACAGTTAATAACTCTAGTCATATCCCAGCCTTCCCAGGTCCATTCCATGTCAGATGTCACCACAAATCTCAATTGGGAACCCCATAAGCCCTCTCCTAACATCAGGAATTCAAGTATTCTTATACAATGATAATCGACACAATGAACACCAAGGATTCTGGAGAAATTATAAGCAGTAAATATTCAGGTGCTAGCTAAGAAATTCCCAAAAATTCCTATACTTTATTCAGGCAGCCGAAGCAGATTCCTAATAATTGTGTGTTTCCTTTATCTAATGCAAAGAGACCCATTCAAGTTTAAGCTACTTCTGGCAGTATGCTTATGCCATAAAAATAAAGCACAAAAAAGGGAATGAATAATTAGACGTTGAAGGAATGCCTGTGATCCAGATTCAAGAAAAGGGGGCATACCTGTGTTCTATGAGGTAAGCTGGCCCAAAATTCCAAGTTTGGAATAATCTGAAAAAAGGAGCGAAAAATTTGAATGGTAAAAGTTAATATTTTTTTTATAAGAAACAAAGCTTTCATTTTATTAAAGGATTCAAATGAACAAAACTAGAGGATAAGAAATCCACCTAAAAGAGCCTACAAGCAAAATAGACAAACTATTGAATACAGGCAGCTTTCCAATTGTATTGAAGAACCAACAGAGAAATGTCTCTAAACTCATTAGCAACCATAATGCTAGCACAGGAACTTTACCCTATCCCATAACCATTCCTTTTATCGTAAAGCTAGCAGAGGAACCTAAGTAACTGTTCATTAAAATGAAACTTTATGGCCACATCGATACATGTATACATCACACCATGCTAATCTCTCCACATCATTCCACTTCTATTTCACGTAAGAAGATGGAGTACAAACCAACATATACATATATATATAATATATATACACCACAAATATTAAGCTAGACATGAAATCAAGATAATAAATCTAGCTTAGAAAGTTATGACAATATAGGAATGGAAAATCCACTGCTAGAACACCCAGAAAATCTTAAAATGGCACAGCAATGACCATAATGCTAGCCAAAAGCATAATGAAAGAAACATGTATGCCACCCACTTCACCCACCCAAAACAAACGAGAAAAAAAGGCTCCTGTCGGTTGGAAATTTTCTTTTGGGAGGCTGGGTGAGCGAGAAAGTTGGTGTTCTTCTCTTTTATCATATAAATATGTTCTACAATATCAAAGATTCAAAATCGAGGTGTATACAATACTCCACTATCCCAAGTGCCAATGAAAAGCAAAGTTCTGCTTGTAGAAACATCAGTTTAGGCATGTGCTGGAACCATGAATTAGCACCTCACCAAATATGATGTAGGCACTGAATTTGCACTTACCTTTGGAATATAACCAAGAAATCAGAGGCCTCAGCGCTGAAGAAATTACTTAGACCCACATACCAGATCAGATTAAAGAAGAATATGTGCGCTGAAGAAACACCCTTAGACCCACATACAGTAATATGTAAGCTTTGAACGANGAGAAAAAAAGGCTCCTGTCGGTTGGAAATTTTCTTTTGGGAGGCTGGGTGAGCGAGAAAGTTGGTGTTCTTCTCTTTTAACATATAAATATGTTCTACAATATCAAAGATTCAAAATCGAGGTGTATACAATACTCCACTATCCCAAGTGCCAATGAAAAGCAAAGTTCTGCTTGTAGAAACATCAGTTTAGGCATGTGCTGGAACCATGAATTAGCACCTCACCAAATATGATGTAGGCACTGAATTTGCACTTACCTTTGGAATATAACCAAGAAATCAGAGGCCTCAGCGCTGAAGAAATTACTTAGACCCACATACCAGATCAGATTAAAGAAGAATATGTGCGCTGAAGAAACACCCTTAGACCCACATACAGTAATATGTAAGCTTTGAACGAAAAATTAATTACTGAGCTCAGAATACCATGATCAGGTTACGTTACACAAGTAAGCCAAATGACATAAAACAAAGCGAACCATACGAATTCAACATAAATAGTCTTAATATAAGTGATGTAAACACAAAATTGGACAAGTTAAATTGAATTAGGAACATGTACTGAGGACAAATAAATTTTACTCCCCAGCTACCCGCAATGCAAAACAATAATTTGATATGTATGCACCAAAAAATTGAACTGCATACACATCAAGTGGAAATTTTTTGATACACCAAACCATAAGTAGACTGGAAGTCCATAATCATAAAACAAAAAATCATTTAAGAATGCGCGAGAAGACATACATCTATACCACGAATGCCAAGGAAGAAGGATCGATACACTGTACCAACCAGCAGATAACCTCCAAAGAGGCATAAGATTCTGGAACCAGAACAATCAGTGAGTACGGATGATTCTTCGAAAATCCAGACGATGCAACCAAATAGCATCAGGGCTGTAAACAAAACCTTACAGGGTTACGAATATAGTAAACCAGCCCCATCCTTTTCCATGAGCGGAATCAATCTTGGCACAACCAGCAGGATGCCTTATCAATGTAGCCTGTCAAAGGAAAAAGAATTATGAACTTGAAAACTGCAAATCATTCATCAGACAAGATATCCCACTTTTCAATTGTCGACTAGGGAATTGATAAAAAAAAGTTCAAAAGCTTGGCAATNCGAAAAAGAATTATGAACTTGAAAACTGCAAATCATTCATCAGACAAGATATCCACTTTTCAATTGTCGACTAGGGAATTGATAAAAAAAAGTTCAAAAGCTTGGCAATTATAGCCGTTGTCATGATAATATCCTTTAAATAAGCAAAAGGGTGTACCCTGAGAACAGGAATGGCCCGTGGCAATTGGGTGCATCCCACCAGCATGTGGTTGTTGGTTTGATCTTCACTCCTCTCCCCAGCCCCCCCAAACAAAAGGAAAAAGAAGAAGACACCCCAATGTAATTGAAGTTCTTACTCATAACCAAAAGAAGGTGTACCTTGAAACCTTATAACACAGACCCAAGTGCCATATTCTACTATATTGTCAAACCTCATTACAGACTATGGCAGGCATACAGGAATAATCTACTATATTTGTAATTGAAGTTGTAGTAGTTGTGATGTTGCAAGATTAGCAGTGTTTAGAGACTTCCACCATCAGTGTATGGAAATAATTTTAGCATCTAAGAGAGAAATGCTCAATGACTATGCAATGTGCCGGGCGCTTATTAGCCCCAAACACCCATTGATAAATAGGAACAAATCACAGTTTCACATGATATCAGACACCTACTTAAGTACATTCCTATTTACTGGCGAACTCAAAGAACTCACATAATCACATCTGCCAAATTGTACCAGTGTCTGAGGTACCTGAAAAGGTTGAATATGAAAAAAAAATTGTGTGACATAAATGAGTAAGAACTAAATATGGTTGAAACAACCACAAAAGTTCATTGACAGAGGGTAACCAAGAAGATCTCACTTGAACTCCATTTGAATCACAGAAAACAGACACAGAGAGTGAACAGTTTTGCTTCAGGCCAATATTTGACATGTTAACAATGACACCAATCTGGGGATTCTTTTTGTCTGTCATATCCACGAAACAACAAATTTATCATATAGCAACAATATTAAATAACATTGTCACATGTAGTTTCCAGACAGATTTAGAAGTGAAAAGTGACTACTTAGAATGCAGCATCATAACGGAAATACTCCAACATGATGCTAAGCTCCCATAACCAAGCCACATCAATTATATCTACCCATGAAATGCTGCTAAGCAGTAGGAAAGCCAGCCCGGTGGGATAATCGATGATGGTCTTTTCTTACAAAATTTGAATAGACATAAAAAGAATTGAGGGGAAAATATCTTACCAAGCAGATTAATAATCGTGGTTGAGGATTGCCCAATAGTAGTACATACATGATAACCTGCGTATACCACAAAAAAATCCATTGGCATCAACAGAATGAAGGTTCCAATTTTAACCAACTGCACTCAATGAGAGGTCCTTGGTAGGCTCAGCACCTCTGTATTTAACCTACTGCACAAATGTTCATCTTTCATTGAGGTCCAGCATAGGAATTTTTTTCTTGTTAAAGGAAAGCATCACAGCAAGAAAGACTTCTCATATAAACGAGGGAAAAGAAGCATACATCCCTCTCATAGTGTCAACCAACAAAAATGTCTCTTGCATTTGTGCATTCAACCTAAGGAAATAGAACTCGAGAGAGAGATTAAGAAAAAGGAGAAGAAACACAATCACAGCAATTCATGACATTATTTTGATCTAGTGACACAGGAAATGTCCTCATAAAATCCTCCTGGAACCTAGTGACACAGCCCAGACTTCCAGTATCCAATAATGAAACTGAGTGTCCATCAACTCGGTTGAGTCGGAACCCTCCTTATGCATTGTTTCTTACCGGTTTTTGACGTCACTGTTTATACTATCCACTGGATCCCAAAAAGAAGACCAGGCTTGATTTTCTGCTAACAAAAACCTTTGTCATCCAAATCCATTGGAACAGTGAACCAAGACATGCACCTAAATTCATATAGATGCAACAAAACTTTGGATGATTTTGGTAGCAAAGACCCTCTGCATTTCCAATCATTTGCTTGCAAATTGTTATATGTACTCTGATCCTGAATGTACAATACTCAACATTCTTAGCACCCATATAAGTGCAAGCAGATAGCATTCGATGCCCATGTTGACAACAACGGATATGCTGTGATTGGTGAAAGTTATCCACAGTTCACAATCCCTTCAAATGATCTATTTGGAATTTTAGCTTACATATTCCATTCATGACAATGAAAGTAATAAAAATGTTCCAGCAGTTAATATAATTTTTGGTTCTCAATGCATTAACATTACACACAGTATAATGAACTCCTCTTCGTTGAAAGCATAAATATAAAGGCACTTTGTATTGCAAACTAAGCACTTTGTATTGCAAACTAAACACTTTTCAACATATGTTAGAAGAAACTACCACATTCAAGAAAACTAGAAAAGCACTGTCAGATAACAATTCAATCACTAATGCTCCAATTATGCTATTGCTATATACCGAACATTGTTTGAGGCTGGTTAATAATTATAAAACAATAGGGGCTATAAATACTTTGTACATATCTAAGTGTGACAACCAAGCAAGTACGGAGTACTTATATAGCATGCCGAAATAGCATCTAACCATCTCCAGAACCCCCAATGGGGAGAGCCTCATGCACTGGGGCGCCTTTTTAAATAGCAATAGCATAACCATGATATGAAATGTACAAAATTGTCAAGACAGATTACCTTCTATGTTTTCAGAGACAAGTGCACTACAACCCATGCCACAATGTGTTGAACCACCACAGCCCTGCAATATGAAACAGCCGTTCAAATCAGCAAGACATGTATTAGAATCAGCAGGTGATACTATTAACTTTCCTTCAAATAGCAGATCATATAGATTAGGAGAATAAGGAAAGACCCCTAACACTGTGCCATCCAATTGATACGCAACAATGTCAGTAAAAAAATGAAAACCTCTCTTTAATTGCAAAATTGTTCAACAAATAATCCACTGAAATGCACCCAATCCCAGCATCCTTGGTTCATAGAGACCAAATGAGGTAGGATCGTTCTATAATTATTTATGCAGCATTCAAAATTTAAACCTAATCACTACATTTAAAAGTACTTAAACAGTTATATATGCACTTAATTCAACTCCTTGAGTAGCATACTGGAACTGAATATTTTTATTTTATTTTAGTGACTGTACTTTCTTATTCTGATGGTGTAATTTATGTCAAGAACCTATTCCCCCAACCCACCCACATCATTTGTCCTTTGAAGACAAAAAGGAAAACAAATCATTATTCCAGAGAGTTCCTCATAATATATGGGATAAAACAAAAATCCATTGACAATGTAATAACTAATAATGGTACAAAAGGCAAAATAAGAGGTGTAACCATAACATTTCTTATCTTCTGCATAAAGAAATCAACCAATGAAACTTAAAAAGCACTCACCCTGCAGTCAACACATATAGGTGGATCATGGTTGAAAATCATTGCATCACAAAGCTGCTCCATACAGACAAAGGATATAACAAATCAACCAAAAGTAACATGGGTGCTAAGTTCATTATTCAAATAAAAAATTGAAGACAATGCTCCAACAGAACTCTAAAAAAAATTGTAGTACAGATACCTAGACCTTGGTAGATGCAATAAAGCTTTTCAGCAAATAGGAAAACTCGCGTGCAAAATTCAAACAAATACAGAGTAACCTGAAAGAGCCAACCTGAAATCTGAGCACAGTCTCATTAACCGCCACCTTGTAAAACCTGAATGAAAATAGTAGTTAACAATAATACACCAGTTAGAACCATACCAACCGGCATTCACCACTAATAAACAAAGTCATAATACGACAAAATCGATTTCTCAACCATCAAATAAAAAAATGCCCATAAATTGAGAGGGAGAGAGAGTACCCATCTTCGCTGAGGATGCCATGGGGGAATTTAGGAATTGAGGATGCTAAGCTGTAGTTGTAGAGCTTGTTGTGGTCACTGATACTGAGTTCGCATACCGCAGACACCGAGTTCAAGCTGACTCGGTGAAGAATAGTGAATGTGAATAGAAGAAGAAGAAGATGATGGAAGCAGCGTTTACGCCAATCGAAACCACCAATTGACATTTCTTTTCCAATGATTTCATAACCAGTCTTATAATATTGCAGAGAAAGTACTCTCAATCATTGAAAACACCATCGTCCGAAGAATTTGTTTGGGGAACGTCTTCGTGGGGGGCAACGAAATGACCGACAATGAGGCGACTTTTGGCATTTTCTACCGATTACCATTTACCGGATGAATTTCCCGAAAAACGACGTTGTTTTTGTGGTTTTCTAAAATTACTCATGATCCCCCTGTACTTATTGATACTCATATATTACTCCCCTCAACTCATATATGTGACATTGAACATCCTTCAATTTGTGATAGGTTAATTATACTATACGTTCAAAAAGTATTAGGTTTATCTTATTTTAATCACTAATATTTTAATTATATTATTTTAATTCTTAAAATATTAAATATATTTTTATGTGATCCCTCAAATAAATAATATTTAAATTGTTAATAATTTTTTATTATAGTTTATCACGTAATACCTAAATATGGGTAAAAAAATAATTTGAATAACAAAATCATCACGTGCAACTCACGTGGCTGTCAATTTGATGAAAATAGCAACGGAAGTTATGAATGGGGTTAAATTACTAACAATTAATTTTATTAAGGGTGTAATTTAAAATAATTAATCTTTATGGGTATTAATTGAAAGTTTTTTAATCCCTTACGGTTTAAACTATAGTTTCCCATAAGAAAAAATTATACTCAGATCCCTCAAAATTTGTCACTTAATCATTAAAACTCCTAATATTTAAAATATTATATACAAATCTCCTAAGATTTGCTTGCGCATAACACTGATGTAAATATATAATTTGATAAATTATACTTAAACCTCTTAAAGTTTGTAAGCATATAATACTTAGATTTTTTGAGTTTAAAATATTATAATTAGATCAAAAATACTTCAATCAAATATAAAATATTTTAAAATTTTCAACAAAAATTCATAGTCTATTGTATTTATTGACATAAAATTAAAATTAAAAATTTATTTAAAAAAAAAAATCGTAATTAGTATACAATTATATTATCTATTGGAATAAAACAAAAAAATCAAACAAGGGTCCTAAGTCATTCATAATAGAACATGAATTTTACATCTTAAATTCATGTTTTATTATTTCATTTATTTAAATAAAATCAAAAATAAAATTTAGTTTTAAAAAAAAAAATCATAGTTAGTATATAATTATACTATCTATTAGAATAAAACTAAAAAATTAAACAAATAGTTAAACTGTAATGGATACAATATCTTTTAACTTTAATTCAGATAATTTGGTATTTAATTTGGTTGTTTAAACGATCAAATTAAATTCTAAAATATAATATAATTGTAAAATAATTATAATTTTTTAAGAAAAAAGTTGAATTTTTATTTTTGATTTTATTTCAATAAATGATACAATAGAATATAAATTTTGGTTGTAAAATTTAAAATATTTGATATTTTATCTTTGATTGTAGTATTTTTGATCTAAATATAATATTTTAAACTTAAGGAATTAAAGTATTATATATTTATAAATTTTAGAGGGTTTAAGTATAATTTATTAAATAATATATTTACACGAAAGTTTAAGTGTTGCGTGTACAAATTTTAGGGATTTGTATGTAATATTCAAATATTAGGGGTGACAAATCTAAATGATCTTGGTGTAATTTTTCCTAAAAAAAATTTAAAGGCGCACACACAAAAAGGGAAAACCAGACGGCGGTGCTGTAAACCCTACCGATCATGGCGTCGATCGAGGCTTCTAATCCCAACAGAGCCCTAACTGACACTCGATTCTCCGACCTCAAACCACCTCTCTCCGAACCAGTCCTCGAAGCCCTAACCCAATCCGGGTTCGAGTTCTGCACGCCGGTTCAGGCCGCCACTATCCCCTTACTGTGCAGCTACAAGGACGTCGCCGTCGATGCCGCCACCGGCTCCGGTAAAACTCTAGCCTTCGTGGTCCCTCTCGTCGAAATCCTCCGCCGCTTCACTTCTCCGAAGCCTCACCAGGTACTTTCCCTCGAAACATGTTGTCAATCCATACAGTATATGTTCTTTTAGCTTGATTTTGCGTTGTGGTACAGGTTATGGGGATAGTTGTATCTCCAACAAGAGAGTTGTCATCGCAAATATTCCATGTAGCCGAGCCTTTCATTTCAACATTAGCCAATGTTAAGCCGATGCTTCTTGTTGGGGGAACAGAAGTGAAAGCAGACACGAGAAAGATAGAGGAGGAAGGAGCGAATTTATTGATTGGAACGCCTGGGAGGCTATATGACATAATGGAACGCATGGACATCTTGGATTTTCGGAATTTGGAGGTATTTTATCAATTCGTTTTTTCACTAAACCCATTTGAATCTATTCCTGTGAAAACACATATTTCGAGCACAATGACTGATCATTCCTCTAATATCCTTTTATTTATGTCGAATTTTGGACGGTTGTGGTCAAAAACCAAGATAGTACAATGGAGGAATTGGATTTAAAGCATATTTGTGGCTTGCCTTTGAGAAATCGACAGTTAATATGTTGATATGTTATATTTCAAAAGGAAACTTAATGTGGCTGGTTCTACAGATTTTGATTTTGGATGAAGCTGATAGGCTATTGGACATGGGATTCCAGAAGCAGATAACCTCCGTTATATCATGCTTGCCAAAGCTGCGTAGGACTGGTCTCTTTTCAGCTACTCAAACTGAAGCAGTTGAAGAGCTATCCAAGGCAGGTTTGAGGAATCCTGTGAGGGTTGAAGTTCGATCAGAAACTAAATCACTCAATGATTCGTCATCATCACAGCAATCAGCCTCATCAAAAACGCCTTCAAGTCTCCATATTGAGGTATTCATCATGCATTATATAAATTGGTTCAACCTACAATAGTTCATTTGATTTTTCTGAATTGATTATCAGAAATTTTCTGAAGTTTATTTTGCCTAACTGATGTATAGTCTGTGGCAGTAACCTTATCTTTTTGTCTATAATTGTTTCATTTTGCAGTATCTGGAATGCGAAGCTGATAGAAAACCAGCTCAGCTTGTCGATCTCCTAATTAAGAACAAGACCCAAAAAATTATAATGTGAGTTGAACGTGTATAGTTCAAATAAAGAAATAAGAATTCAAAGGAGTCAAGCTTGTATATTTTTCTACAAAGAAAGGGACTTGATGACTATGGACAGAATTAGTTGGATTATCACTTTTTTGCCCTGTCCTTACTTTTCAGTTATTTCATGACCTGTGCTTGTGTTGATTACTGGGGAGTTGTTCTTCCGCATCTTGCTGCCCTGAAGGGTCTCTCAATAATTTCTCTTCATGGGAAAATGAAGCAGGTAAATTTACCAGAGATTGTCATACATGGTCTATGTCTAATATTTAATTATGTTACATAGGTTCCACTGGTGTGCAGTCTGACTCTTTCGCATTTTTCTGCTAGACTGCAAGGGAGAAAGCGCTAGCATTATTCACATCTCTTTCAAGTGGCATCCTTCTGTGTACTGATGTTGCAGCACGTGGACTTGACATTCCGGGTGTGGATTGTATAGTGCAGGTAGCTTAGTCACCTACATTTATCAATAACCCAAGTTCTGCATGACTTTTTAATTCTGTGATGAACAACTGTGTTATAACACATTGCTTTATATTTAGGGAAGTAGTCACATCTTTCATGCTAGACTAGAAGATGTTTTGCCTGTTGCCATCTATCTTTTATATGAAAGAATTGAATTGTGTGGGATAGGGCTTGGGAAGCCTTCCCTCCACTGATGCTTTTTCTCTCTTTTTTGATTTTTTTTTATCAAACTCTCCACCAATCAATTCTTTCCACATTTCAATACATCTACTTCTCCAACTTCCCATTCCCCTTCTGTTTCCCACTCCTTATTTCTTTTTAGTTGGTCATATTCATTTTTTCTTCTCTCTCTACAATTACTAAATTAATTAAACAGTCTGGTAGCAGGACCAGTTGGAAATACTGAGGTGGAGTTGGAATATAAATTCGTACATTATACAGGCTCACTGCTAGCTTTTCTAATGGAGCAATCCATGGGTTCAAAATTGCTGACAAGAGCTCAATTAGTAAAAGGGGGGACAAGTTGCTTGCTTGAGGACACATGTTAAAGTAGAGCAGATAGTTATGAGTAAGTTGGAGAAATTGCTATAAGAATGGAGCATTTTAGGGTTAAATTCTGAAGGAATGAAATTAGTGAAGGCGCATTTCTTCTCAAGACGAAAATGGTTATGCATTCCCTTTTATAGAAAATTTTGTTGCTGTTTATTTTGTGAAAACATTGTTTACGAAGGAGAGAGAAACTAAAAAATGAAAGCCAAATAAAAAGGGGAAAGAACAGGCATACACCTTGAGGAGTCAGCAAAGAGTAGGACTTAATTTAGAACCAGACTTTTAAAAGCATTAAAATACGCACAAAAGTAACTGTTGTGCCAAACAGAACAGTGTTATTCAAAAACCTTAAATCTTTGATCTAATATCCTATACGTACTTCAAACTTTAGAAACCCAATGTAAGGGGTCAGACTTACCAAAGTTGTTGAGTTTTTTCTTTGTTGCTTATGCAGTTTGACCCCCCTCAGGATCCAAACGTTTTCATTCACAGGGTAGGCCGGACTGCTAGGATGGGACGGCAAGGAAGTGCCATTGTTTTCCTGTTACCGAAGGTTTGGTTCTTTAATAACCTATCTACAACTCAGTTGCGGTGCTGTATACTCATCATATGTGCACATGTAGGAGGAAGCATATGTGGAGTTCCTGCGAATAAGAAGGGTACCACTTGAGGAGCGAAAATGTTCTGATGAGGCTCCTGATATTGTTCCTCAGGTGAACATTATCTTTCCCGTTGGAAAGTATTTTTTGCATCCGAAAGTTCTAAAGTGCTGTCCCTTTCTAGGGAAATGATTTCATATTCTTTGGCTGCTTTATTTGATTAGGCTTTCTCCCCTTTAATGGTTACTGTTTAATTGGTTTTTTTTTCCTTTTGTGTTGTAATTTTTCTTGTTCTTTTTTTTAATATTCCTTTTATTCTTTTTCTTNCTTGAGGAGTCAGCAAAGAGTAGGACTTAATTTAGAACCAGACTTTTAAAAGCATTAAAATACGCACAAAAGTAACTGTTGTGCCAAACAGAACAGTGTTATTCAAAAACCTTAAATCTTTGATCTAATATCCTATACGTACTTCAAACTTTAGAAACCCAATGTAAGGGGTCAGACTTACCAAAGTTGTTGAGTTTTTTCTTTGTTGCTTATGCAGTTTGACCCCCCTCAGGATCCAAACGTTTTCATTCACAGGGTAGGCCGGACTGCTAGGATGGGACGGCAAGGAAGTGCCATTGTTTTCCTGTTACCGAAGGTTTGGTTCTTTAATAACCTATCTACAACTCAGTTGCGGTGCTGTATACTCATCATATGTGCACATGTAGGAGGAAGCATATGTGGAGTTCCTGCGAATAAGAAGGGTACCACTTGAGGAGCGAAAATGTTCTGATGAGGCTCCTGATATTGTTCCTCAGGTGAACATTATCTTTCCCGTTGGAAAGTATTTTTTGCATCCGAAAGTTCTAAAGTGCTGTCCCTTTCTAGGGAAATGATTTCATATTCTTTGGCTGCTTTATTTGATTAGGCTTTCTCCCCTTTAATGGTTACTGTTTAATTGGTTTTTTTTTCCTTTTGTGTTGTAATTTTTCTTCTTCTTTTTTTTTTTGGCAGGGGGGGGGGGATGAGGGGAGATGTATATCGGGTGATTATTACAACTGCTACAGTCGATATTTTAATGAGTTCATTCTTCCCTTTGCACTATGCATTCATTTTTAGAGTGGAAAATGTTCAGGTGTGTGGGTGGGTTGGGGGGAGGTGTTTATTGGATGATTATTAAAGCTCCTACAATGGATATTTTAATGAGTTCATTCTTATAGTGGAAGATGTTCGGGTGGTTCCCCTCAGGGCCCTTTTCTCTGTTTTTGAGGTGTGGTGGTTCCATTATTCAAGGTCACGGTAACGGCCAAAGACTCAAATGGCATTGAGATCCATTGGTCGGGGTGCTGCGGACTGATATTGTATGCTAGAAAGTATTTGTTGGACATGTCAAGAGATTCAGGCTATACCGCAGCGTCTGGGAACAACATCGAATTGTCTGCTGCAATTCGAAAACTCGGCCGAGTCAATCAAAACATCTCCAAGGCAATCACAAGTTGAGCGAGACTCTTGATTTACACGGAATTTACATCGTTATCGGAACAAAAAGTCTCAAGTACTTGGCCAATTCTTTGAACACTTGGTGGTTGGAGGAAGACGAAGTATAAAAAGAAAACCATAGCACAATTATTAAAGTAGTCCTGATTTTGCTTTTCTTCCTAGTAGAGGCTAATATGGTCTGCAATCAGATTGCCGTTATAGTAATCAACTGTCTGCACTACACAACTAAGTGAACAAGAACCAGCAGCACATTGATCATATACCTTAATGACTTTGTTTAATCTGTAAGAGCTAGGTTCAATTTTCTCATGCTTGACTATTCCCATGTTTACTTCCTATCAGTTTGCTTTTTATTCTCGGTATCGAAGTGGAAGCTTTACTCATTCTTTGCAACTTTTTGTTACCTCCTTGTTTTCAAATTATTTAGTCAATCATAATCCAATTTTCACTTTGAGAATTTGCCTAACATCATATCAAAATCAGTGATTTGTATCTGTTTTCAGATACGGTCTGCTGCAAAAAAGGATCGTGATGTTATGGAAAAAGGACTCAGAGCATTTGTCTCATACATTCGTGCTTATAAAGAGCATCACTGCTCATACATTTTCAGGTCATTGCAGGGCTTTTTGCCATTCCTCACTGAATGTTGTTCTGTGGGGTCCATGTTGTACTAACTGTAATTTTTTGTTTCCAGGTGGAAAGAGCTTGAGATTGGGAAGTTGGGCATGGGATATGGCTTATTGCAGCTCCCTTCAATGCCCGAGGTAAAACACCACTCACTTTCGACCGAGGGTTTTACTTCAGTAGAAGATATCAATCTGGAGGAAATCAAGTACAAGTAAGGATTCTTCAATGCTGTACTGTGCCTTATTTGAGTTTACAGAGGCTAGCCATTCATGGCAGTCAATCTGGAATCTGTTATAGGGTTTGAGACCTTTCAAGTGACTGGGCATGTGACGGTAAAATCTCCTAAGATTTCACTTTCTGAGGGTTTGAGGTTCTCAATGAAAATCCATTGTATTGTAATCATCTTATTAAAAAAGAAAACAAAATTGTTGCTCTAGTTTTTTTGCCCCTAAAACATGTTCTGTTTCCTATAGTTAGCTAAGATTGCATGAGTTTTGGGACTATGTTTGCATAGTTTTTTGACTATTAAAATCAACTCAAATGGAATTTCTCTAGTCACTAAAAAAGAGTAACTATATTGTGTGGTACAGCATCTGACACTTCGTTTTAAACACAACTACACAAGTAATGAGGCTTCTGTTTTTGTGCGTACATACATTACCAAGAAACACATGATGTTGATAAAATTCAATATCCTCTTGTTCATTTGTATTTTTGGCTCATCACCCAAACATTTTACCCTCTAGGGATAAATCTCGGGAAAAACAACGAAAGAAGAACTTGCAAGCAAAGAAAGCTCTACAACAGGCACAACCAAAACCTCAGAAGTCTAAAGCGACCCTAAATGCCGCTAATAATGTCATGAGGAAGAAAACAGCCAAGCAGAGACGTGCTGTTCAATCGGTTGAAGATGAAGATGAGATGGCACGGGAATACCGCCTACTGAAAAAGCTGAAAAAGGGTGCAATTGATGAAAGTGAATTTGCAAAATTAACAGGAACTGAAGACTTGCTTTGAAATATAACTTGATCTTGGACATCAAGCAGTAGGGAAATTTAAGCGGGGCTGAAGAGAACAGGTAAGGTGGCAAGACCATTGAAAAGCGAATTTGCAAAATTAACAGGAACTGAAGACTTGCTTTGAAATATAGTGTGATCTTGGACATCAAGCAGTAGGGGAATTTAAACGGGGCTGAAGAGAACAGGTCACGTGGCAAGACAACGGATGTATAAACCTCTAATGAGCCCCTGTTGTGACATCTGCTGAAGTTTCCAGATATCTTGGTGACAAGAAAATTGTTGCCAGAGATAGAAATATCCTTCCTCTGATCAATTTTGTTCTGCGGCCTAGATCAAAGATGATATTTGATGCTGAACTGGTTTGCTTCCCAAATTTGTATTTTTTTTTCTAATTTTTTGAGTAGAACAGTTATGAAACTTTTCATAACTTATCAATAGCTTTGTAATTTCCCCATAACATAATTTTTGAGCTTTGAAAGATGAAATTGAAAGTTTGTAACCTGTTTATGCTTACCATTTTGTCCTATTGTGCCTACTTTATATATTTGTATGTGTTGAATTTTGAATGTAGAGTACAAGTTGGATGTATTATCAGAGGAGAGGAACCTTTTTTTGGTGGGATCAGCATATAAGAGGAAGATGACGCATAAAATGGCCTGTGCTCAGGAAAAAATCAATGCCAGTTTCGGCATCCATTTTTCGATCTGTTCTTTTGCTTTTGTTTTAAAGAATTTGGTTGTGATCNGATCAGCATATAAGAGGAAGATGACGCATAAAATGGCCTGTGCTCAGGAAAAAATCAATGCCAGTTTTGGCATCCATTTTTCGATCTGTTCTTTTGCTTTTGTTTTAAAGAATTTGGTTGTGATCTTCATCATTTACACCTAAACTTTTGGTGGTATCCCGACTTTAAGTCTACCTTAGTGAATTAACAGGGTAGAACACCATATAAACTTCACTGATGTTATCATAAACCTTGATTTTGCTATGCTCAATAAAAACCCGAAATAGTAGAAATTGATTCATGTACTGGTCAATCATCTTTGTCCAAGTGTGAATTGCAGATGGCTCTCCAATAGTTTCGTTCCTTCTTACTGTACTTCTACTTTTGGGTTAACCCTTTGAAGCCGACATGCTCCAAAAGGTGCATATGTTTCTCCCTCAATCATGTGATTTCTTATGTATGGATTAGCCGTATCTCATCTTGCAACATAAAATTTGAGCACTTAAAAATTTGATTCCACTATATTGTGTAGTAATTTTTCTTTTTTTTTTTTTTTCATTTCTTTCGTTACATAATCAAAAAATTCTCAAAATATATAATCTCAAAAAATATCAACATGTATATACTATTGTATATAAATAATGTTTAAAATAAAAATTACATTGAATCACAAATTAATCAAAAATTAAATAATTCAATTTGTTATAGAAGTCCTGTTAAGTAAAAACAACTTGTGATAAAAATAGGTAAAATCATAGAGACGAACAGAAAAAAAATATGTAGAGATAAAATTCAAAGTACTAGTTAGATTGCATTTTTTTTTAATTTATTTCTTTTTTTTGTTTGTTTGTAATTAGTTTCATGTGACAACCTTAATGTTAAAAAACCAGATTTCTGAACTTGAACCCGTAACATATTTATTTGGATGGATAATTGCTTATCATTCTAGATCCAGCCTCTATTTGACAAGATCTAAATTGCAAAACATAATATCAAGTCAAAATCTTTGGGGAATAAAAAAAATAAAAAATAGGAGAATGGTTCANCTTTTTTTCTTTTTTTCATTTCTTTCGTTACATAATCAAAAAATTCTCAAAATATATACTCTCAAAAAATATCAACATGTATATACTATTGTATATAAATAATGTTTAAAATAAAAATTACATTGAATCACAAATTAATCAAAAATTAAATAATTCAATTTGTTATAGAAGTCCTGTTAAGTAAAAACAACTTGTGATAAAAATAGGTAAAATCATAGAGACGAACAGAAAAAAAATATGTAGGGATAAAATTCAAAGTACTAGTTAGATTGCATTTTTTTTTAATTTATTTCTTTTTTTTGTTTGTTTGTAATTAGTTTCATGTGACAACCTTAATGTTAAAAAACCAGATTTCTGAACTTGAACCCGTAACATATTTATTTGGATGGATAATTGCTTATCATTCTAGATCCAGCCTCTATTTGACAAGATCTAAATTGCAAAACATAATATCAAGTCAAAATCTTTGGGGAATAAAAAAAATAAAAAATAGGAGAATGGTTCATTCTCAATCTTTCAACTCATCCAATTAATTACATCTTATATAACACTTAATTTTTTTTTTCCCCTTTGATATGGGAAATCAAGGTACAACACTAAGCAAAAGCAAGATTACAAACTTCAAAGAAAAGCAACCTAAGATCAATCACATCTACTACTTACATTGTCATTTTTTATTTTTTTATTTGTGTTGAGGCTACATGCCCTTAATGTCTTTATTAGTTTAATCCCTTGAAATTTTTAAGGGTGCTTCAATAGTTGAGTCTAACATCTGGTAATTGAGAGATCTCATATTTAATACTTTTCATATTCTCTAAAGGTCAATCATTTTTGTTCTTCAAGAGATACTCTGTAAATTTACTCGGACTACGGTGACTAATATCTGAATTTAAAAAAGTAGTTGAAGTAAATTTGATCGGTAAATAAAAAAAAAAGTTTAATCTCTTGAAGAAGAGAATGGAAGGATACAAAAGAAGCATAAAGTGAAAAAGAGGGAATGAGATTTGAAAACCAAACAAGAAGGAAGCTTCATTTGGAAGCATTTGTCCTCGAGCCCTCAAAAGAGAAAAGTGGGTGGTGGTTCCACATATATCTTCCTTGTCTTCAAAAGGAGGAATCAAAAATCGAGGTTGATTAACTAAAAGAAAGCAGCCTTTTTTGTCTTTTTATGTAGTTTTCTACTTTGATTTTATCTCCTACTACAATTATTTTCAACTCAATTTGACTCTTACTCTTACATATTCATCTACTGTTACAATGGTGAATGTTGCATGTACTCAGATCTAATTGAGCAGTAACATTTCTAGTTTGTTTTTGTCTAGCTAGAGGGTGAAAGGCTCGCCTTCCTTCATTGGTTATGAGTTAGAATTCACTTGTAGTAATAGTTCTGTGAACCAAAAGATATTGTCGAAGGAACTAAACGTTCAGCTTGTACTTGGTAGTATTGTAGTAACATGCTTGATCATCTTTGATTAATAACTATAACTCAAACCAAATATTCTATATCAATCGGAAACCTCAAGATAACGTACTTGGAGTTGCTTCTAACTATACTTTTTCCTAGCAAAAAAAAAAGAATAATTTTTATGGAGATCCAACGAATCTAGCATGAATTCAAAAATTTATGACTATTTAACAGAAATAATTGATGGGTTTGATTAATACCAAACATGAATAATTCGATTTTGATATAACTAATTCTTTTAACTAATCAAATGTTATAGGGATTGTGATAAATTAAATAAATTTTTATTTGATTTTACTAGGATGTAGAACAAGCAGATTTTATTTAGAGTTAACAGCGCTTTTTGGTCTCTAAAATATGTATTTTTTTTATCACTTTAGCCTTTAATGTATCAATTTTGTCGATTTGGTTCTTAAAGTATTCAATTCGTGTCATTTTGGTCCCTACGTAGACAGACCGATCACATGATACTGTCTAAAAAAATGACTCATAACTTCTTTCGTCAAAATACTTAATGGTCCGTTTACGTGGGGACTAAACTGATACAAATTGAATATTTTAAGGAGTAAATTGACAAAATTGATACATTGAATATTAAACCGACAAAAAATATATATTTTAATGATTAAAAATACTATTAACCTTTTTTTTTTAATTTACAGTGACCNGAATATTAAACTGACAAAAAATACATATTTTAATGATTAAAAATACTATTAACCTTTTTTTTTTATTTACAGTGACCTATGGTTTTATAGGTTTGGAGAGAGAATAGAGTATTATTACCAAGGATTTTGATTCAAGGGTTGCATTTGTATAGTTCAATCCAAACTATCAACAACGGATACAAACATGACATGACTCTAACATTGACCCGAAGACACTCTTCCTAAATACATCTTTGTAATTTAATTATTTTCTTAAACGCCACCATTTGGATATGACACAGATACAAAATGATATGACTCTAATATCGACTCTAAGACCGTCTATCCAATTATATCTTTGTAATTTAATTATTTTCTTAAACGCCTCCATGGCCCCCATTAGCTGAACCAGTATGCTAGTATTGCATAATTAGGTTGTACCTGTCGTGACTTATCACGGACGTAATCAAATGGACCATCTCATTCACCACCTCCTTATCACCATCATAGAGATTATTAATTTTTTTTTTGCTCATCGAAAGCGTGGTGAAGGGCAACCAGATGTAGCAACTCGGACATTACCTCAAGGTTTCCACTTGCTGTAAAATGTTCGGCTCTAGTCATAGTTATTACTTGGGATGGTCCACTTTGTCATCATAGCACCATCGAAAATAAGATGAACATTCAGTCCCTCTAACAAAATCTAGTTCAGAAAGACTACTGCAACAAATGGATTCGAACACATAAATACTAGAAGAAGAAGAAGAAACTTTCACCATCTACTAAAAACCAACTAAGCTACAACCTCGGTGGCTGTCATGTATATTATTAGAGTAATCATTGATTGATCAAATACAAGATCCGATTGAATGATAAAAAAATGTGAAAATTAACGTGACGATGCTAACCAAGTAATCTTTTGTTTTGACATTTATTTTTCGGATCAAAATTTTAAACATTTAAATTTTGACAAAATTTTTTAAAAAAAAAAAAAAATTTTATAAGTCTTAATTTGACAGTCATTCTAAATTTTTGTCTAAAAATATTCTTTGCTACACACAGGACCATCTTACCGTTACCGTTGCTTTTTCACACTTGGTTGTGCCTCGTACGCACGACGGTCTTTTCAGACACTATATCTAGATAGTAGAAAGGTTTCCTAAGTCGCAAATACTTCCTCGTTTAAAAAAAAAAAAAAAAAAGTGAATGAGGAATCTTTCTAAGTCAGTGGTTGCCTTTGTTTTTCTTAGCCTTTACCCACCTAAAACAATAATACATTGATTCGACACACATAATTGTTGCATTGCAGAGAGATGAGTTTAGAAGAACAAGTTGTCATTGACATAAATATAATAGAAATTTGTCTTTTATATGTAAACTTCGCCATGAACTGAGCACTTCCCTGCACTGCAACCCCACGTGAAGAAGAACGTTAGAACGAGAAGGAATTGTGATCACATTGTACAGTACTATGCTCTATCTATTTCTCTTTCTATAATTAATTACCTGCAAACTATGCGCATCACGTTTATGAAAAACTTTGTTAGATGTCTCAAATTTAAAGCTTCAAAATATGAACAACCGAAGTCTCATTGTTTAAGCTGTCCTGGCCGCTTGATCGCACAATTTTTTAGTAT